TTTTCTCCTAAAATCAATTGAGGTAATTGTAAGATTGTATTACTTATATAAAATAACGTATAAATAATTAGACTACTCTTATTGTTTAATTATTTAAATCACGATAACTTTTTGTATTTTTTATTTTTTTTTCATACGTCAAAACAAGGATACAAATTAAATGCATCAAATATTCATTATCGTAAAAAATATTCTTTGCAAGTTAACGATGATATTTACAATTAAAATGAGTAATATATATATTTATGTATATAATATATTATTAATGTATATATATATATATATATATATTTATTATTATATATTATATATTTATATATTATATTATTATATTATAATTATATTATAATATAATATAATATTATTATATATATTGTATATTATTATTATATATATTTTATTTTATTATTATATATATATTTTATAATTATATATATAATAATATTAAATATATTAATATATATTTTTATTTAGATAATATATTAATATATTAAATAATATATTATTTTAAATATATATATATACTAATTTTAACATTTTTACAACTTACAATTAGTACATTGTTTTAATTAACCAATGATCATCATTAAATTCAAACGTACGAAGAAATTTAATTAACTGCGAACATTATTACAAACGTTAAAATTATAAGCGTACGTTCAATATGGTTTTTAATAATATTGCATTATTTGCAGATAAAACATGACAACATTAGACTCATCTCAAGTTAATCGAAAAGAACAACTTTTGGTTGCTCTCAATAAACTTGGTAAAGGTTCCACTTTTCTTTATATGATTTTTATTTTAACGACGATACCAGCCTGTTTTAATGGAATGCATTCTATGGCTTATATATTTATAGCCGAGGTAAGTGTTTCCCCCATAGAGAGATCATACCGATATACAATATAATTAAATATTAATGAAAATTATTTACATCGTAGATTCCTGAACATTGGTGTTCCATACCAATTCTTCATTCAGCTAATTGGACTAATGATCAAATAAGAAACATTTCATCCGCCAGTCCGTGCACTCAATACGATTATGATTACAATCATTTTGCAAAAATAGGTTTTGAAGAAGCACTTAAATATAAAAACGATAATCCAACAGTAAAAGTAACAGAATGCAAGGTTCGAAGTTTTGAACAGAACTTGGATGGTACTTCTCTTGTCGAAGATGTAAGTTCAAATATTATTTCAATTCATTTTTAACCCTTTGACTGTTAAACGCGTATATATACGCTCTCACAAATCCATCAATATATACGAAAGGCGTATATATACGCTCTCACAAATCCATCAATTTATTGTGATATGTAACGTAGCAACTAAATATTGACAATTATTTCAATATCGTTTTAATTAATTGCTTTTATATTTGAAATTCGTCGTCGTTTATTTGAATTTTATTATCTTTAATTCGTTCATTATCGTTTGATTATTTTTATAATTAGGATTAAAAATTATTCAAATATCCTGTTAAAGTTATTATAACCTCTGTGTTATATTATAAATTTTTGTATTTGTTTCTTTTATATTTATAATTAACGATTATTATTTGAAGGAATATGCACAAAATAAATCAAATAAATTAAAATAGGTTAAAAAATTACTTTAACACGTTGACGACGGCACCGATTTTCAGTGTCTACGCTGTGGGACGGTACTCGAATCTAAGATGCGCTTCATCTGGCGGCGCGTGATTTTTGTTTGTTCAAACCTGGACCAAGGTAGACCACCGGTGGTACGCGCCGCCCGATGGGACAGTCTAGTGCGGGCCACCGGTGGTACAAGCCGCTCGATGGGACAGTCTAGTGCGGGCCACCGGTGGTACGCGCCGGCGTGAACGTGTTAAAAAAAAAGGAAAAAAAAATTCATATTTTTATTTTATTTGCCATTATTATCTGTTTTGGGTCAGTAGTCGAAAAAACAGTCGCAGCAGCGACTGACATGCGAAAATTGCGCCCCGTTCATATTAATGGATTGTTTCGAGAGCGCGTCACAGTCAAAGGGTTAACACAATATGAACAATAATAATAATAATTATTATTATCATTCAATTTTTGCTCTCTATAATTTTATAATTAATTGAAAATAATAAAATGAAAGAAAAAAATATCACCAATGCGCTTTATAAATCAAGATATGATCCCAGTGGGACCTCGTGTGTGACAGACTAGCCGATAGATCCACCATCCAGATGATGTTCTCGTTAGGAAAACTCTTAGGAAGTGCATTGTCCGGTGTTATTTCTGACAAATATGGTCGAAAATTTGTCTACAACATTGGCATTATTATGCTGATATTATCTGGTCCAATTAGTGCAATTGTACCTTGGTACTGGTGCTTCCTGATCCTTAGATTAATTAATGGGATAAGCCATGCTGCTATTTTGTATCCTTCCTTTACTCTACGTAAGTTATTTTATCTTTATTTTTCAACGATGATAAACGAACACAGAAATTATTATTTTTCTATCCAACTCGCTTTTATTTATACCAAAAAAAAAGAAAGAAATCACTAAACTTTTCAATCCACCATCATATATATATATATATATATATATATATTTCTGATTAAAATTAATTATTAATATATTCAGTTGATGAATAAAATTGAAACAAGTTGTTAACGTTATCTGTGTCAACACGTTCGTTCAGCTGTCGTGAATGTGTTAATTAATCATTGATTACTGACATTTGAAATACATTGACACTTGATAATGTAAATATTCATTAAATTAATTTTAAATTGAAAGTATACTTATCCTCATCGTATTTCTTGAAACAGTACAATGCATATCAATCTATATTTTCTCTTAATATAAACTTTCAATAATTTTGTTATACAGTAACCGAAACAGCCGGAGAAAAACACAGACAATGGATGGGTGTAGCCTATAACGCTGGATATCCCATAGGAACAACAATTATGGCATGCATAGCATACGTGCTATACGATTGGCGACACAAACAATTGGCATCAACATTGCCAGCTTTAATTTTACTTCTTTTTATGTGGTAATGACAAAATGATTCTTATTAATTAAAAAATGTATCTAAATCTAAAATATTTTAATACTTCCTTAAGTTTTGATCATCAGGCTAATGCCAGAATCACCGCGATGGCTTTTATCACAAAATCGTATTAATGAAGCCCAAAAGGTGATCGAGAAATATTACCGATCTGATAATGAAGAAGCTGAAGTAATCGAAACATACTCTTCATCGATTATGCATAAACCTATATTGCAATCTCAATTGGAAGAAAGGAAAAATTCCAAATCTAATTCCACTAATATTAGTCAAGGAAATAAATTAAAGGAAACTCTAAAAGGGCTGGTTGTTGTTCTTTGCAACTATGAATTATTAAAAAGAGTCATGATCACCAATTTTGCATGGCTTACAGCATCTCTCACGTATTATGCCTTAGGTAATACTAATTATTGATTATTATTATTATTATTATTAATTAGCGTTAGGAATTCGAAAGTTTATTGTCGCAAATACCAAATCCCACCAGTGTTCTCATCCCTGAACGCGAACCCCTTAATTCACGGTTCTCATACTCTATTTCTTTTAAGATCCCTCCTAACATTGTTCTACTAATTATTGATAATAGATAAAATTGTTACAGTATAACGTTATTCCAATATTGTTTGTTTTAACATATATGTATGTATTCATTACAGCGTTAAACGTGGACAATTTCTCAGCTAATCGTTACCTTTACATTCTTGTGATGGGTATCACCGAAGTACCAGCTTATTTGATACCAACGCCCATTTTGATATATGTGGGAAGAAAACAAGCTTGTGCAGTTATGTACTCGTTGACGGCCTTGCTTTTACTTAGTATTCTTGCAATACCAGCTAAAGAAACTCTGGCTATAATAATCGTTGCTTTAACAGCAAGATTTATTTTATCTGCCGCCTATAGTATCATGATATTATACACTTCGGAATTGTTTCCTACGGTAAATCAATCATTAATGTTATATTAAATGAATATTGGAATATAAGAAAAAAAAAAAAAAAAAGAATTGGTTTTATTATTAATCATTTTTACCCGTAGATTACAAGAAATTCAGCAGTAGGCAGCAGTTCAGCAATGTCTCACGTTGGTAGCGTAGCATCACCCTACGTTGCTGATTTATTAGGCGCCATTGCTTGGTGGGCTCCAAGTACTTTATGTGGTTTCTGCGCTCTTTTATCTGGTTTACTTTCCATGATGTTACCGGAAACGCGTGGGAGACCATTAGCCGACACAATTGACGAAGAAATTACGAAAGAACGTGGTGTCGTTGAATTCAAAAATTGTTTCATATGTAAAAGCTAACTAGAAACGATAGTTATAAATTGATAATATGTTTTATTTCAAAAAAATAATAATAATTATTATTATTACCTGCTATTAACGTTATTAAAATAATTTTGATGTCTTGATAAATCTAATCTTATAAAATAAAATAAATAAAAACATTTGTATTTATAATAAATTATAATTAATAAGAAATTATTCATTGAAAATTCAATTATCCAAAAGTCTATTAATTATTAGCATAATCATTGAGTAATACTTTGGTTCAATTTACAAAAACATTAATACTGAGAATTGTCTACTATACTCATATTCTTTAATACAAGTTAAAAATTAACAATACTGATATTACTAGTGTTATACACATTGATTAAACAAATTTTATTAATACAAGCGTGAGTCCAGACGTATATGTATAATATATAACAGTTTTTTCTCAACTGAAATTTTGTTATTATGGACCAAATGAATTATTAAGAAATTAGAAAAAAGGGAGAATTTTTCTATAATAACATATAATTATTGTGGTGCTTAACAAATTTCATATATATATATATATTCAAAGAATGATAAAGAAATCTAGAATAATCAATAAAACTTAAACAAAATATTAACAAAATAAAAACGGAACTCTTAAAACTAAATTAAAAACAAAATAAATAAATTTAGTCGTAATTTAAAAGATTGTAAACAAAATATAACAAATTTATAAGCTTTTCGCGGGCCTTTAAAATTTATCTGCGAACCATCGGTTGAGAAACACTGATATATAAGATATATATATAAAACAATTTGACTTTTGTCTATACTACATTGAAATTATTTAAATTAATTTTGCAACGCGTGAAGTGTTGTAATGTAACAAGAAGTTGTCCTTAATATCTGAAATAATTAACAATATAATTCGATATCTAATAAAATTTACATAAGATAAGATTGCTCAAGTTGTACTACAGCCTAAATCATAGAAAATTTTTAAAATATTATTTATTTATATATAAAAACTAGGGGTGTTCCGCCATGCGTTGCTGTGGCTCACAATCAGTCCGATACACACGTCTTTAAGTCAACGAATTACCTTATCGCGATAAAATAATATTGCGATTATAAATTGAGATATAAACTATTCTATCTTTCAAATTGGATGAAACTGCACACAGTGTGCAAAATTTGATTAAAATCAGTTCAGTAGTTTAGGAGTCCATTGCGGACAAACAATGTGACAAGTAATTTATATATATATTAAAATATAGAACATTTATTTTTTATATAAAATGTTGCAACAAATTGTTCATAAAAAAATATTAATTGAATGAAAATCCTACATCATTCTTCAGATAATATTACTATACAACGTGTCCAAGCTAAAAAAGGGCCACCTACATATTTTACTTGTTTTTAATAATATCAAAAATGCTTAAGACATACTCTGATTGATTTCAAAAGTAAAGCTATTTATTTAATATCAATATTCTAATATGTTTAATTAGTATGCCATGTATCATGACGTACTAATGAATTCAAACGCTAAAAATGTGATAAAATTGTAAGACTCGCGTATTACAGCTTGAACAACCTTATCCTATTTACGTATCTGTTATCAAATTTTGTTTACCACTTCTAATAATTCGAACGACATAGGATATAAACCACCAGCAAGCAAAACGGATTCTTTAAAGCTTCTTTGCAAGACTATTATTATAGTGGTTTGTATTTTAGAAGATTCCAAAAACCAAGGAATAGCATATCTACATAACATAAGTATATATATATATATATATATATATATATATATATATATATATATATATATATATATNATATATATTTATTAAGTCTATCGAATAAATAATTGAAAATGAAACTTACACTTTCTCTGAAATACCAGTACTATGATCAATAATTCTCTGTCCACAATAAAATACACCGAACAAATAACATACAATATTAACGATACGAACAAAAGCATTAATTATACGAACAGAAGAATTAACGAGGTTATAATTTTTATTCGGATTCACAGCTTGTAAAATCTAAAATACATATATATATATATATAAAAGCATATCATATTTGTAAATATTAATTATGGAGGGTAGAGATAAGGAGTAACATCTCTGTATATGAAAAGTGTCCGTCGAAATCGAACCAATTAGGGTGGCGCCACAGTACTTAGAGGGTAAATTTTAAAGGAAACGCCAAATATTATTAGAGTAGGATTGAGAAATAAAGAAGAAACGGGTCGACATGATCGTTACCTCCATAATGAATGTCTCATGACAGAAAAAACATTCTTAAATATATAAAAGGAATAAATACTCAATAGAAAATAGAACGAATTTTTTCCAAAAATTGTAATATAATAATCATAAAAGTACACATAACCTCCAAAGGGTTTTGCGATTAATAAGTTGCCAATAATATTAAATTTTTTAACTCGGCATACTTCAATTCGTTTATAACTGCTATATTCATACCATACCTTCTAAGTTCACCAGCGCCATTCTGGATGGTTTTTGAACTGTTATTGACAAAAAAAGGCTGGACACTTTTTTTCACATTTTCTCCCATAAGAGATTTTACTTCTTACCTCTACCCCCTCCATAATATTAATAATATAAATAATAATTATACGTTATATATACTCACGTCGGTGCAATTCATAGTTAAAGATAGAACAGCCAAAATTAATAACCAGAAGTAAGACATTGTGAAACAGGAATTCATATGATCTACGAACCTTACACGACCAAACAATTCATGATAAAAAGAATGTCGTTATTGAGTATAAAAATAAAGAAATTAAAATTGAAAAAAATTGTTTATTTTATATAAAATAATTAATAAAAGAATAAATACACGTACGCGATAGCAGTTTGATGCGATTGAATAGCACGGGAGACCCAATCGTCAAATTTTAAATTCATTTCTTGTAATGTGATAGAACTTGAAGTGCTTTGGTTAAAAATTCGCTCGAAACGATACCTAAAAAGAAAAAAAAAAAAAAAAAACAAAAAAATAAATAAACAATTAATATCAAAGTCCAACTACCGAATATCCAATATTTGAGAGCACAAAATAAAAAAAAAAAAAATAAAAAAATGTAAATTTTCTCAATTTTACCCAACGATCTGAAAAAGACCACAGGCATGTTGCATACAAATAGTATAAAATGTTTCAGTCGCAATAACAACCATCAATCCAACGAGAAAAATAGTATACATGTGCAATAAAATAGGATAAAAATAAATGTCCTCATCTATGAAATATTCCGCCACAAATGGACTCTGTAATCGATGGGTTCCGTTCAATGGTACGACGATATCGTAAATGAACAAAAAACTTGTCCAAACCAAAAGTATGATAATCGTAGCACAGGATAGCACTGATGATAATAATAAACAAAAAAAAAAAAAGACAAGAATAAGAAAAACAAATTATTACCAAAACCAAATATTTATGAATTAACAAACAAGCAAATTTGAATTACATACTCAGACACACGAAAGTAAACTTTTTTCCCTGTTGCGTATATTTTTCCATGATTTCGAGTTCCTTCTCATCGATCAATAAATGCCAATTACGTTGAATTCGTATAATCAGACACTTTAACTACATGAAACATGAAAAAAAAAAAAAAAAAAACAAGTTAAACCAAATTTTCAAGATAATCCTTCAAAATTAATCATATATCGTGAAACGTGAAATGTGAAACGTGAAACGTATGATCGTAAAAATATTCATATTTACATTTTCAAGTTGTAACAAATAAAAACCATATTTTCCCAGGTATATCAAGCAAATAAACACATAAGAAAAAATGTTGACAAAAAGATCGAGCGTAAGTTCGGTAGTAATGAATTTGAATATCTGAAAAAAAAAAAAAAGAAAAAAAGATAAATGAATCATTTAATATATCTCATTGATTTTGTATCATTTAAAAATTTAAATTCTACCTGAACGAGTACGGATGAAATTAAAATGGTATAGACAATGAATCTTATTATTTTTTCCATGAGAACATTTAAAAATGATTTCTTAGTCATTGGCCAAGAACCAATAATTAACAAAAGAAATCGATTAATATTGTAATAACGTAAGATTAGAACGTCCATTCTTTTTTTTTTTTTTTTTTTTTTTTNTTTTTTTTTCTTTTTTGAAGAATAAACTAAAAAAAACCGATCTAAATCGAACGACAACGAGTTATGCACTGATGACGTATGCGTGTACGTACTTTTCTTCTCATACCACAATTGTTCTTTTTCGCGTCATATGGCTAATTCTATAGATAATATCGCAAATATGGCAAATTACAGAAAATTTGACTCAAATATATTCATACGCACTTATTACGATAAGAATAAGCTATTTTTCTTGTTTTTTCTATATCCACTTGCAAAAATAGTTTACAAACACCTATTGTACTCGATATGATTACGTATAATAATACATGCAAAACTGAAAAAACAATGAAAAGTTGTTACTCAAACTTCTGTACTATTTCCCATGATAACTTTCTCTTTCTCTCTAACATATTCTTACATAAGATATTTAAGTTCAATTACAACAAAACTCATTTTGAATTATTTACTTGAATACGTATGACGTATAATTTGAACGTAAACTTTGAAATTCGTTTCATATAATATCATTTGATACTATTTTTGAACGAAAAAAGAAACATTACTTTCGATAAGAAATATAATTCATATTTATTTTATCTAATCATTATAAATACAGGCGGTCTAAGATAAATAATATTCTCTCGGAACTTTTATCAGATATTCCGTGAAATATTAAATAATGAATGATTCGAACTTAACTCCTTTAAAGGGTACACGTGGGGCGTTTGACATCCCAACAAATTTTTCATCTCTCGAAAACGGTAGTGAATTCGAAAAAATGGATTATTTGTCTAGTGCTATCTAGTGTTAATTGAGATGGGTATAAAACCTATTCTTTTTTTAAAAAAAGATGTATCAAACTACTTTGAAAACAATTATTGTGAGGTCTAAATATTAAATGGCGGCTTTAGGAGACGCGTTCAAACACGTTCGGGGTGTCAAACACCCACAGTACACTTTAACGTAATTTTTACCAAGGGTTGTACCCCCTTCAAGGGTTAAATTACTCAATAAATTAAAGGATATTGCTAACATCATGTATGTCATTTTATGTCTTTTAATGTACACTAACTGTATACCAAAGCATATAACTTAATAATATTAATAACAACAGTAATTATAAAGAAATAACAACAATTTTATAGTCAAACAAGTGGACACATGTGGATAATAAAAATTAAACGATTAATCTTATACATTAATACAAACTAAATAGGTTTTTAATATTTTCTATGCATTCCTTTCGCCTTAATAATACCTTCTAATCTAGTTGGCATCGATTCAGCAAGTTTTTCGTAATTAGTGGTGTAATATTTGCCCATTCCTCTAATAACGCCCCTTTTTAAATCAGTTTTATTTCTTTAAAGACTTTCTTTTTTTTCGTGTGGTTTTTTATTCCGGGCGCTCAGTCCTTGGACAGTTGTGCCCAAGCCCTTTGCGGGGAGCACCTATCATTGTGGTGGTTCCGTGGGCGATGGTTCCAAGGGCATCATTTCTGACGCCCGCGATCCTAAAGCCACGAAAACGAGCAGGCATGTCCCAACCAGTGATCCCAGAGACTTTAGTTCGTCTGATCGACACAGGGCCTTATATTATCGTACACACCGGATAATTATCGTACGCACAGGAAAAATGTTGAATTTGTTAAATTTTTCGGATTGGATTTTCAAAATTTAAAAAAAGAGTAAAAGTTCCAACTTTGAAAAAGTTGATGACCTTTTTTTTTTTTTTAATCTTCAAGTTTAAACAAGCTGTCGTAGAGAGAGAGAGAGAGATCAGATCGTTCAGATCGTATAGTGGTGGTCCCTTCTTCTCGAGATATCGAATCAAAATAAGGTCATCAAGTTTTCGAATTTTCAAATTGGATAGTGATAATCGAAAATTATCGTACAGGCTGAATTTTGGATCGAAGAAGGCTTCAAATTATGTGACGGGATCACTGGTCCCAACGTTCGATGTTGGAGAGCGGGGAGTCGAACCAGCGAACTCCGGGTGGGAGTCGAGCGTTTTACCGACTGAGCCATGCCATGCTCAAGACTTTCTTTATTTAGAGAAATTCGAAACAACTGACAGATGGCGTGATTGGTACCACCCTAGCGCTCAATATTTTTAACACTAGTTTTACTTTCTTATACAATAACTGTTTTATGAAACAACCATGTTTTTTTCTTTTCCAGTTCTGTTAGAGAAATTATAGGTATGTTTCAATTTATTTTACTTTTACTTTTATTTATCTCACTTAATTGTTTAAAATTATTATTACTGAACGATTGATATCTCTATCACTATTTTTCTTATTAACATAAACATTATTTTAAACAAATGAACACGTTTTATGTACAAATTTACTTTAGCACATGGTTTGTGTGTGCGTGCGTGGACAAACCTATAATGGAAAAACAATGGAAAATTAGGTTTTTCGTTGAATTATAATAGGAATGATATATATGTTATTGGAGACTTGTTATATGAAAATGATATAAGAAAGAAAAACTTGAATTATTAAATATAATTTATTTGTGTTGATCGGATTAATAATATCAAAGGGTTAAATGTACATTTTGTTAATTTATTGATTTACTAATTTGATAAATTGGTATTTTTGCAAAATCTAGGAAACGGTCATCATGCAGATTTTTGTTAAAACACTCACAGGGAAAACTATCACCCTAGAGGTAGAGGGATCCGACACTATCGAAAATGTTAAAGCTAAAATTCAAGATAAAGAAGGTAAGTAACAACCGGTTATTAAATCTATTATAAAAAAAACAAATACTACACATATTTAAGTAGAACAAAGAAAGAGAGTTTAAATGAAAAGATAAATAAATTTGTTTATTTTTATTAGGAATTCCTCCCGATCAACAACGATTAATTTTCGCTGGCAAACAATTGGAGGATGGCAGAACTTTGTCAGATTATAATATTCAAAAGGAATCTACTTTGCACTTGGTTCTGCGTTTACGAGGAGGTGCAAAGAAACGTAAGAAGAAGAATTATTCAACTCCGAAAAAAATCAAGCACAAGAAGAAGAAGGTTAAGCTTGCTGTACTCAAATTCTACAAGGTATGTATTTACGTATAGAATTTTTTGTTTTGTATTGGTTTTTATTATTATAACTYGTTCAATGTATATATCTCTATATTTGTTAGGTCGATGAGAATGGAAAGATCCATCGTTTAAGACGAGAATGCCCTAGTGAGCAATGTGGTGCTGGCGTTTTCATGGCAGCAATGGAAGACCGTCATTATTGCGGTAAATGTGGTTACACGCTTGTCTTTAATAAACCAGAAGATAAGTAAATGATTACTTAAATGAGTAATTATTTATAATATGTACATTTATCATTTTTATTCAAGACATTAAATATTTAACATATACATATATTAAATGTAAATAAAAAAAATAATAAATATATGTATATTTCATTTGTTAAAAGTTATTAGATTAATTCTTACATATAAGTAAACATTATCACTTATTACCTTATTTTGTAGATAATCGAATTTTTTTTCAATTCAATGCATCCTTTCTTTATTGCATCCTCATAAATTTCTTTATATGACTCTTATACTTGGCAAACACATTGTTCTTTAACAATTGATCGTTTAAAAAATTGTTATCTAAAATACAACAAAAAGAGATAATTAAAAAATATATAATTTTAAATCATCGTTCGTACAAAATTATATTTAAAAAAAAAAATTAAAATAAATATTTATTATTACTTATTATTATTATTTAAAATGTGATGCTAATGTGGCGCCACCCTAATTTAATGCATTTCGACAAACACTTTTTCATATACACAGACGATTCACCTTACCTCTACACTCCATAATTTTAATGAACAGTTTTCTTATACTTTTGAAAGATAAAGGTTTTTGACGTCACAACCATTTATCGCTAATGACGCTAGGTGGCAGGATAAACTCCAGCGGAAGCGGCCGTTAGAACCACTCACTTATCTTCCGTCTTTAGCGTTAGCTAGTTTGAGTTCTCTTCCGAATAAGATGGACGCACCAATCACGTACCTTGAACGTTTCGCTGGATTTACGTCCGCTTCACCAATCAGTGAAGCCAGATCGCGGAACATTTCGACCCCTTCTCTCGAGCCCAGCACGCCTCGCACACAACAAAATTTACGTGTCGGTGTACCGACAGAACCGAAAGAAGCCGAGGGAAGCCGAGATAGCTGCACGACGGAGGAGAAATAATACCCCCACCACGCGTCGCGAAGAAATACATGGACACAATTCACATTTGAACAATGTGTAAAACAATGAGTAGTTTCGGAGTCTATAAAAAACAAACAATATGACACTGAATTTTCATATATAAAGAAGATATTTATAATACATTTCTATTATAATATGTCACAGTAGCATAGTATTCTTCGTTAACCACGTGTGTGTGTGTATTCCATTTAGATTCACCATGCTATTTCTGCTTACCGTTGTTTACATTCAAGCATTCCGATAATCGCATTTGGGCTCCTCCCCCATAAGAAACAAAGCCAAATTGCGATTGGGTGACAAACATCGTTGAAAATTAATATACGCTTAGTACTTAAGAAGATTATTTCATTTAATAAATTGTTTACATATTTATCATTTACTTATCTTCTGGTTTATTAAAGACAAGCGTGTAACCACATTTACCGCAATAATGACGGTCTTCCATTGCTGCCATGAAAACGCCAGCACCACATTGCTCACTAGGGCATTCTCGTCTTAAACGATGGATCTTTCCATTCTCATCGACCTAACAAATATAGAGATATATACATTGAACGAGTTATAATAATAAAAACCAATACAAAACAAAAAATTCTATACGTAAATACATACCTTGTAGAATTTGAGTACAGCAAGCTTAACCTTCTTCTTCTTGTGCTTGATTTTTTTCGGAGTTGAATAATTCTTCTTCTTACGTTTCTTTGCACCTCCTCGTAAACGCAGAACCAAGTGCAAAGTAGATTCCTTTTGAATATTATAATCTGACAAAGTTCTGCCATCCTCCAATTGTTTGCCAGCGAAAATTAATCGTTGTTGATCGGGAGGAATTCCTAATAAAAATAAACAAATTTATTTATCTTTTCATTTAAACTCTCTTTCTTTGTTCTACTTAAATATGTGTAGTATTTGTTTTTTTTATAATAGATTTAATAACCGGTTGTTACTTACCTTCTTTATCTTGAATTTTAGCTTTAACATTTTCGATAGTGTCGGATCCCTCTACCTCTAGGGTGATAGTTTTCCCTGTGAGTGTTTTAACAAAAATCTGCATGATGACCGTTTCCTAGATTTTGCAAAAATACCAATTTATCAAATTAGTAAATCAATAAATTAACAAAATATACATTTAACCTTTTGATATTATTAATCCGATCAACACAAATAAATTATATTTAATAGTTCAAGTTTTTCTTTCTTATATCATTTTCATATAACAAGTCTCATAACAGTTATCAATAAGCAATGTTCCATTTATTTCGACCACTATTTACCACTAAAACCATTTATAGGAAAATGACGCAAGCAAATTTATACACCTAATGTGAGAATACCTTAAAAATATACTAAATATACCCAAATGATATACCAAATCTAGGATTGATCCGATGGTATACAACCGTACAATCTCCTCATTCGAACCATTGGCAGTTAAGTTCTATGTATATTAATAAAAAAAAAGAAACAAATATATTTATAAAGATATCTTTATTACAATTGTCATTAGAATAATACATCGGTAAAATATAATTTAAATAAATTAAACCTAATTTATAAAATTAGATTAAACAAGTAATATAGCATTGATACAACCATCATTTTCTGGATTATTTGTGACTTGTGCATATTTACCCCATACAACTTTACCAGATTGCGTTACAAGACCTAATTCTGAGATATTTACTTCGATAATAGTACCTTTAGTTATGACACCTAAATTTGTATACATAGGAGAGCTAGGATTTTTTTTAACATCTATAATCGGTAGACAAAAAGTTGCTTTCAATTCTGGATGCGTAACGTGAGCTTTTTTAAAACGCAATGCCATTGGTCTAATAAATCTTTCAAATTTAGGTGGTTTCCTTGTAAAGTTTTCACCGACAAATGTAACTTTGGTTACCATTCTTTTCCAAGACTTTCGTTTGGTTTTACCACTTCTCATAACTCTAAATACTTCTGATTCTGATTGAGCTTTCACTTTAGGTATCGGTACATCCCATTTGCCAGCTTTTTCCTTTCGTTTTTGTTTAATCATATTAGACAATACTTTAGCTCGTTTGGTAACATCTCTGTCGAGAAGATAAACTGGAACAGCTCCATCCGATGGTTTTTCCGTTATTTGTTTAACATTTTTCTCTTCATGAGCTTTGATCTTTTTCTTCATTTGAATCTTTTCATTGCGACGTTCTTTATTAAAGATTTTAGCTTTGATACCACGTAACGAACGAGCACGTTCTGCTCGTTTATGAGGTTCTCGTGCTTCACGTTTTCTTTTTCTCTCTTCATAATCCAAACGTCGTCCATATAACTTTCTGTGTTTCTCGATATATTCATTTTGCGGCATCTTGGTTGTTGAATAGCTTCTTCAAATTTCTGTAAAAAAAAATAAAAAAAAATAAAACACAATAAATAAACACTTTATGTAATGAAACTTGTTAATATGATGAATGAAAAAACTGTAATTTTTATTTATGTACCATAAACAATATATATTATAAGATTAAATGTATATCATAGACTTACCTTATAAATTAATTCACAATTATTGCAAACAATCACACTGTATATGAAAATATTTATCTATTGGCTACTATTCTTTAGCATTCAATAGAATGCATTAAGTAAAACATACAGATTTGCAATGTTTGCTCATTTATTAACCTCTTCAGGAACGATTTTTTATGACAAGAAAAATATGACTTCTATTTTTCTTTTTTAAGATTAACATAAGCAGAAATAAATATAAAAGTAATAAAATATTAACCTCTTCTACAATTAACCTAACCTTACCTTTAACAATTAAATTAATATATATGTATATATATTGCAATATTCGACATTTAGACAATATGCGAGTGGTAATTAATGCATCGAAATTATACATCCCTATTAGAAATTGAACGAAAAAACCTAATTTTCCATTATTTTAGCATCGCAGGCTTGATAGTACGCATATGCGTACATGCCATGTGCTAACGCAAGTTTTAAATCAAATGCATTAATCTGTTTAATATAATTGTTTATGTTAAGAAGGATAACAGTGATTGAAATATCAATCGTTCGGTAATATTAATAATTTTAATAACTAAATAGATGAGATAAATAAAAAGAAAATAATTTGAAATATACCTGCAGTTTCAATATCAGACCATGGAAAGGAAGAACATCATAAGATTTAAAAAAAACAATATTTTTATAAGAAGGGAAAACTAGTGTTAAAAATATTGAGCGCGCATCAATCTATAGCGGTACAACCACAAGTCGCGCCCTCTACAAGTTACTAAAAAGCTAGAGAACTATGCGAACAAAAGTAGTCTGTCCGTAGCCTTCCATGCGTAGAAACGAATCGCGTCGGCTTCGTTGATTGGTGGAGCCATTTTGTTTAATTCTCTTATTTTTTTTGTATTATTTCTTTTCTTACACGTCCCGGATTTCGGCATCAATTTAATGTAGAGAGTTTCTCTACAGTAAAATAATATTAGTCTGAACTTTCTTTATAGTTTTTATTTCGAGGACGCGACTCGTTTCTACTTTGGTGAACACTCATGAAAGGTTACGGACTACTTTTGTTCGCATGGTTCCCTAGTCTTCTAGTAACTTTTAGAGGGCGCGACCTAATGCCCCTAACTAAAGAAAATCTTTATGGTAGCATATCTATATGGTATCTTATAGTATGGTTTTTCATAAGAAATATTGTGGAGTATGCATAGTGCTCGAGACAACATTTTCATTCTTTACTATAAGAAGAATTTAATGCCTGTTTTGTGCTAATTTTTGTTTAACAAATTTTTTTCAATATCTCTCAAAATATGATTTTATTAATTGATAAAGTGTAATTTTTGTTAAGTGAACGAAGAAATTGTAAAATAATAGGAAATGGCAGAAATAGCGAGTTCGAGCGTGTTTACAAACGATGCAGTCTCTCCATCGCCTAGTTCATCCGATCTTTTACAACAAGCAATCCAACAAGCTGTTGACGATGATGAAGATAATTTCGTAGCATTTTTAGAAAACGATGAAAGTGATTGCCAAATGATTCATCTAACTCCGGAACAGGCAAAGTCATTAGGTATAAGTTTTGAAATAACTGAAAATCAAGAGGTTATGTATAAACATAATGATGCTAACGATATTCTTGATACAAGCAACATTACGGAAAATAATCATTGTAAAACGGATGATGTTAGCTCGGTTTCTCCCGAAGAAACTGCATTTCCAGAGGAAGATTTCAATTTCGAAACGAGTCAAGTAGAAAATGTTGAGGAAATTAATGATATTGCTAAGACTGATTGCATGGACTACTCAGAATGGCCAATTCATGAAGATGCACAAAGTTATAAATTGCAGAGTGTTGCAGATAGTTTGACTACAGGAAATATATGTTTACAGCCTATTAATTCGCAGTCGCAAACATTGGAAATACAACAAAACACTTCGCATACGCAAAAAATAGTTGTAGAACAGCCAAAGATACATGCAATAATGACGGACATTGGTCAAATTAAAACTAAAGATAATTCATGTTATGTAGTAGAAGATGACTCGGTACAAAATCAATCAATAAATAAAGTGTCCAGTTCTCAAGCACAAATAATACAAAAATTACCAATAATTTTGCCATCTTCTCAATTCTTTTTAAAACCAGCGCAAACAATATTGAAACCGGCAAAAAATGTTAAATTAATACAAAATATAAATAAATTTGTAAATACTAATATAAATTCTGTCAATCAATTGCCAACGATCAATATTAGTTCAAATTCTAATTCTGTGTTACTTTCCAAGGCAACGTTGATCAATACCTTATCGCCGCAAATAATAAAAGCAACTCCTATTACGACTCAATTTTTGAACACAAATAATGTATCTGCACAGCTGTTGAATACATCTCACATTATAACAGGAAACTGCGAAATAGGAAATCAAACAAGCACTTCTCAGATCGCAAATACTGTGGTAAATAGTGCTCCTGTATTATCACAAAATGCAACGACTTCACAGATACGATTGTCACCGGCGATAAAAGCTACATCATCATCRTTACAAAAAAATAATATATCTCAGCTTTTAGCGCCAATGATCAAAAATGCTGCTACTATAACTAAAACAGTAGCAAAACCTGCACAAGTTATTAGTAATGCGACAATATCTACGGAACTTAAACCAATTCAAATTAACTCAAAATTAATTAAGGCCTCTTCCTTAACGGGAAAAAAGAGTTTAATAACGCCTATGACGAAGATTATAACACAAACAAATTCTCCGGTTATATTTAGAACAGCATCGATTGCTAAAACACAAGATTCTAAAACAACGTCTAATTCAACCTCTATATTAAAACCAACACAAACATTATCAACACCTATATCTATCTTGAAACCACAAACTAAAGCAGCCTTACATAATTATACTAAAAATCAAACAGTTACAATAAACCCTAGTAATATTATTAATAACATAACAAATTTCTTAAAAACAACACCAATTATACAACAGAATGGTTCATCTGATAAAACAGAATCTTTCCAAAATGGTTTTTTAAAGCAAAAGATTGTAAATGCTCCATCTGTAAATGGAGCATGTTCGAAGATCAATAAAAAATCTAAAGGAATACCCTCTACAAAATCTACAAATCCAGAAACGATAGATACATCTAAACCATTGGGATCTAGTGAAAATCCTATACAAATAGTACAACAAGGTCATCATTTTCGTAGGTACTGTTAACAAATTATTATACATTTACTATCATTATTTTTACATAATTGTTGTAACTTTTCGCGTATATGCAACGCATATATGTAGTTTGTTATATAAATATATTGTATTGTTTTGTATGTTTTACATTTGATTTTAGCACACAACAGCTTTCGCCGAATTGTTTGAAAAAAATCTTTAACATAATAAATCAACGTAATCAACTTGAAGAAACGTCTATGTCTGATAAGAAAATTGTGTATAGGTCAGTTATGAATAAGGATAAGTAAGTAGCGAATAGTGAATAAAAATATAACTATTTCAATATCTACAAATAAATGAAAATTTATGTATTTTTATACAGAGTATTATTACCAGAAGAATTAGCTTCAAATTTGAATAATCCTGGAACGTTAATCAAAAATCGTGGTGGCAAACGAGGACGACCAAAAAAGAATGCCATTAGGCCTTCTTTGATCCCATCAAAAACAGCAACAATTCCTGAGGAAGAACAAGTTGAATTGAAGGTAATTATTATTATTATTTTTTTTTTTTTTTTGAAAGTACACAAAATACGTATAATTTAAAAAAAAAATGATGATTTATAAATAATATATTAAAATAATAATAATAGGATGACAAAAAAAAAGGAATAGCCAGAACACGTTCTGGTAGGGTTACAAGACCTCCGAGACATATGGTACGAGATTACAAACATTTACATCATTCAGATTTCTTACAACCTGACTTGGATGATTCGGACGGCGGTTACAGTGATTATAATACAAACAATGACAAGATTGAAGATGAGGAATCACCTAAAGAACTTCTCACAGGTTTGGAAATACCAAAGAGAAAAATATCTGATCATTTTCGATGTCCTACGTGTATGAAAGTATATTTGGGAAGGACACGTATGGCAAGGCATTTTGAATTGCATCCGGATCATGGTAGTCCTGAACAGTTACCACCGCCTACACCTGATCCCGAACTCAAGCAATCCAGCAATCAAGATCCCTTAAAACGTAAGGGCAAAAAAAGGGGACCATGGGCTTATGTTACACCCGAAGCTAAATCAGAGCGACGTAAAGTAAAGCTAAAAGAAGCAATATCGGTATGTGAAGATACTGAAATAATAAACATAGCCGCAAAGCCAGTACTTAATGCACAATCTCTATACGATTTATTAGTTTTAAAATCAGATAACAATGTTAGAAATTTTGTACAAGAGGTCAAACAATTGATGGATAAAATAAGAGAGAAAGCCGGTGAAATGTTATCTTTAGTAAATAATGATAAAGAATCCGATGAAAATTTAATAGATATTAAAGAAGAATTACTTTGCAATGCCTTGGGTATTAATCCTGGATTATATAAAATTAATAATGATGCACTGAATCATGATGAGGAAACTTCGTACCTAAATCAAGAACCACCAGCAAAAATCATGAAAATGTCCAATTGTGAAGAATCTAAAGAAAATAATGAAGAAAGAATGTCTAGTGGAATTTCAGAAAGTTCAGATCTTAGTATACCAGAATTTATGAATGAAAGAAGAACTGACTCTGCATCAAATTCAAGGTGTCCAGAAGTATTATCCGCATTAACATTAATGAGAAAAAATCCAACTGTTGATAACAGTAAAGCTAATGACGTTTCGTCACTTTTCATTTCAAATTCTGAAATTTCCAATCATATTTCCGAAAATTCCGGATTCCAAAAATTACATGCAAACCAAGTTCCCAAATTTTCAAATTCAGAATCTCATAAAGACAATTTTTCAAAGTTAACTGATAATTTAGGATCGTCAAGTCATTCGGAAATTTTTGACAAAATAGAAAGCAATTACGATCAATCGAAATTGGAAAATATGGATGATGAAGGTTTTATAAAATTAGGATCAGTGGAACAAGACTTAATGAAGCTTGAAAATGGCTCTTTGGGATCATACGAAAAGCAAGATATTCAAAGTAACTTGAATAATATTCAAGAAAGATCTCAGGCCTTTGTTAAAGGATTTCAAAAATTGGTTTCTAAAATAGAATCTATAAGTACGTTGGAATTAAATAATGCTAAATCGCAAAGTTCTACATTGGATACAAATCCATGTAAAATATTACCAACAACTTCGATTTGTAAAGTTTCAGAAAATACTTCTGTCTTGCAAGATACAGTACCAATTATTTCTAATAATTATGATACTACTAATATATTTGATAGTACAGACAATCTGGAAATGTCAAAAGTAAGTCAATATGATCATATAGCGCATTTAGATATTTTGAATAGCAGCAGCGAAATAGATAAAAATCTTTTGATCGACGATAAATTAGTCGAACAATTAAATTTGGTTGATCAAACCAATTTAGTCGATGAATTGGTATCAGAACGATTAAAAAATATTATGCCTGATAATATCTTAGAAGATTTTGCAGTACTAGGGGAAGAATTTAATAGAAATTCTAGAAGTTGATTTTTAGATAATTACGCGAATAAAAGTATTATATTAATTAAAATTACTTGTGCAGTGTATAATAATGTTAGACATGCAGTACTACAACAACTATTTGAATTTTTATACGAAACAAATGTATTTTTGAGATGGATTGCTACATGTTTTTCTTTCTACAAAACTTTATATATGAATTTGCATTAGTTCAAAGTAGAATGAAACCCCTTATTAGGTAATTCATTATATATAT